AACAGGGCGTGGTAGGGGCGGAGTTAACAACACAAACGTGGTCAAGACATTGAAGAAAGAAATATTGGAGTTTTGGTAAACTTACAGTGGGTAGTAACATCAGGCAGGGCACACCGACGGACACATCCATCACTACAGCATTTCTTCAACGAGGGACAATCGGTGTCGACAGAGCATTCGGATTCCTTTGGTCTAAATAAAAAATACAAGTAGGACCTATAGAGCTCATATAAATCATTTTTCTCACCTCTGCACGCAAAAAGCTCCTAAGTTCTTCGTCTCCAAGCACTCCCCGATATGAATGGATAAACCAGGTGGAGCGGAAAACACTGAAAGTAGAAATACACCCAGCTAATTGAGAGATGGTAGGATTAACCTTCACCTGCAGCAACGCATGCCATGCCACAACCATTGTAGCAACATTTCTGGCCGGATGCACATTCTTCGTCTAGAAGACAGTGTCTAGTGCAATCACCATTTGCTAGAATTCCCGATGGGCAAGTCCCGGGCGACCAGTTGGGTTCTGAAAATGGGAATACAAAAATGCTAATTATAGCACTTTATTTTTCACTGACCATGTCCAGGGCAACAAATTCCGCCATCGCTCTTGTACTGACTACAATAACCATGATGATGTGAGCCTAAAATTAATATTCTTTTAATGAGAATACGACTTTGACAATATCAGATATAAACGCAAGCATATTGCGCCAACGAAAAAATTACCGGTACATTCGCTACTGTCAGAACAATTTATATGTTGAGCAGTAGAGACATCAGTCAACGGAACTCCTTCTCGGCATGGGTTTACTACACATCGTGGGACCTGAAGAGACAAGAAATTGGTAAGCGTGGAAATATGCAGTAAAGAAAAAATACTGCTCTTCCAGGCCATGCATGGCTGGGCCTAAAATTATGGGAGAGGATGGAAAATGGGAGGAATTTATCTACCTCAGGGCATGGCCCTGCCAGACAATCCACGGGAGCTGGTACGCATACAGAGTCATCAGGACACACAACACCCTAAAAAGGCAAATATAAAATCAAATTCAATTCAATAGGCAAGATAATTCAGCTTTTGTTTTTAAGTTTATTTGCCGACTGTTGATGAAAGATTGATTTTGGCAATGCGGACTAAACTAGTTGTGTAAAGGGGGCAACGAAGAGTTGACAGAAAAGAGGAAGTGAATGACTCAGGTAAAAAATTTAGTCAGGAGTATGAATTGTTTACTACATTACTATCTTCAATTTCGTACGATTTGTTCACTTTCATACTTTCATACTCGATTTTCATAAGCTTCTGAAATTCTTGGAACTTGTCTTTTACCCCGAATTATTTTTAGACCTTAAACTCGGACAATGGATATGACATTTCTATTATTTTGTGTTATAGGTTTTGAAGTATCCAATACACTCACATCGCAAGGACTGCTACATTCACAGGTGTCACATCCATTGGAATCTTTTCTCATACCGTATTTGCAAGAAATATCGTGCGTACATAATGGGACTGTACATTTCCGTGGGGCTAAAATAAAGGTGTCACAAAGTAATAAGAACTTCTTCTATAAGAAGAGTGCATTTTACCTCTACAGTTAGGAGCTATGTCATCCGATGTTCTCGTTCCTTCCATTTCGACACCAAACTGATTCACACACCAGCAGTAGTCAGAATCGCACTGCACCTCTTCGAATGAGCCATCTAAAAAAATTGCTCCACTAATTTTTTTGTGAAACTGTGGTTCCAATTACCTGGTCTGCACTGTATCCTTGATGATTGCCCAATCATTTGCAAAGCAGCTTTTGCTTGCATGCAAGCACTATTATTCTCAGGGTAGAGACATTTCCTCGTGCATCCATCTGAGCAGCACTTTTGCACTCCGACACAATCCACATCGGTTGAACATTGGTGGACGAGACTGAAGTTGTGGAGATGTTTATTCGTTTAGGTCAAATGGCCTTATAATTAACTAAGCAGCTTACGATTGCCCGCTGCACTGCCTCTGGTTTAGATAGGGGCAAACGCCGGGTTTGATCACCTCAGGCTTCTTCTCCTCAGTGTTGCCACCTGATGACGATGGAGATGTCTCTGCAAGTAAATCATGTTGTGAAAAAAGTAAGAGAAAAGTGTATGGTAAAATTCTTTTTATCTATTGCAATGGAATGACACGAAAATTCATTTTCAAGATCCTAGAAACAAATTTTTTCTTCTAAT